CCAAGATAAAGCTATTCTACCTCCATTAAACTCTGGCGGAGCAGCTCCAAGATAATCAATGCACATTGATTGCCAATCACCATCCGCCATACCACACATCATATTTCCGTCGACGGGAAGCCCCAGATGCATAGAGACATCCTCCAATGTAATTGTTGCCTCTCCACATGGAAGGTGAAAAGTGTGTGTCTCGGGCCTCCACCTCTCAATCAGTGCAGAAATTAGGACAGGTTCGAGTTTGCAACCGCCTATAATTGTTGCAATATACCCGAACCCAGCAGAAGCTAAATATGGCAAAATACGTTCCGGTGTCGGTATACGTGGATTTTTAATAAAAGTTTCTAAAATACGATCAGCATCCTAAATAATATATATTATAAAAAGTAAAAATTAATATAAATTCATAATAACTTTAAAATAAAAATAAATTTAAATATTAACATTAATTATAAAAAATATTACCATATCGCTAAAATGTCTGGAGATATGATCAATATCCAATCGCAACAGCATTTCGTTTTCCATTATAACTGTAGACAAAACAATATAATTAGCAAAAAAATTAATAATTCTAAATAAATAATAATTATATAAATATTATTTTAAATAAAAAAATAATTTTTACATAAATATATTAATATAAAAAATAATAACTATTTAAAAAAATACTAACATAAAAATAAATTTCTTACCACTAATAACAAATTTAAAACTCAAATAGTTGGAGAATTTGAGTTATATAAGAGAGGAGAAGATGATTTTGGTGTGAAGAATGAGTGAGGGTTGAGGGGGTTTATATAGGGGAGGAGGAGGGGTAGTTAGGAAAAACGGATGGGGGCATTTATGACATTTAATGGAAGGCGCGTCCCCGGGGATGCGCCTTCCACACGTGTCTGCTGATATGGCAAAGGCGCGTCCCCGGGGACGCGCCTTTCACACGTGGCATCCAACTCAGCGAAAACACAGGTAAAGCGCGTCCCCGGAGACGCGCCTTTGCCAACTCAGCAGAAAGGGTGCTAGTTTTGGAAATATTGGTCGAACGGTGTTAGAAAAGTAAAAATAAAAATAAACGGTGTCAGGGGTAAAAAAGCCAGCTGAATTAGGCCAGGTGGTGTCAAATGATTTGCTCCTTTCTTCCTTTCTGATTCAACAACTACCATCTCTGACACAAAAAACCTCGAATCCCAACACCACCAAAATCCCCGACAAAAAATTCCTATGGATCCTCGAAAATTGTCAGCTCTGCTTTCTTCCCTTGTCTCTCAGCACCTTATACTAATCATCATCCTCTTCGATTCCAACAAAAACGATGACAACAATCGCCATTTCATCTCCCATGGCAACACCGCCTTTGCCATCGTCCAGCATTTGCTCTCCTCGCAACAAATCGCCGCCTCGCTTTCATTCGTTTCGGTTTCTCGGAAACGGAAGAGAACCCATTGCTCGGAATCCGATTCCGAGTGTGCCGCCGGTGAAATCACCGACGAACAACTCGACCGAGTCGGGCTCGGGTTGAATTGGGATCCCGACTCGTTCAGACCGTTCTTCGGGATGAAATCATCCACCTTCGAGTGGCTCGCCGGGTTGCTGGAACCGCTGTTGGAGTGCCGGGACCCAGTCGGTTCCCCGTTAAATCTCTCCGCCGAATTACGTTTGGGTATCGGTTTGTTCCGGTTATCCACCGGTTCGAGTTACGCCGAGATCTCTCGACGGTTCGGGGTATCCGAGTCCGTGACTCGTTTCTGCGCCAAGCATCTCTGCCGTGTCCTTTGCACTAATTTCCGATTTTGGGTCGCGTTTCCGAGTCCAGAGGAGCTTAACTCGGTATCCTTAGAATTCGAACAACTCACTGGGTTACCGAATTGTTGCGATGTGATTGATTGTGCTCGGTTCAATATTGTGAATGAAATCAATGGCGGCATTGATAGCATTGCTGCTCAAATAGTGGTGGATTCATCATCAAGAATCTTGAGCATAATTGCAGGTTTCAAGGGTGATAAAAGTGATTCCAAGGTCCTCAAATGTTCAACTTTGTGTAAAGATGTTGAAGAAGGAAAGTTATTAAATTCAACCCCATTGATCGTCAATGGATTACCCGTAAATCAGTATTTTATTGGTGATTGTGATTACCCATTGCTTCCATGGTTAATGGTGCCTTTCGTCGACAATGTCGTTCCGGGTTCGTTCCGAGGGGAGTTCAACGCCGCGCACTGCACGATGCGTGCTTCGGCATTGAAAACCGTTGCTAGTTTGAAGAGTTGGGGGATTTTGGAACGACCGATGCGTGAGGAGTCCAAGGCTTCCGTCGCGGTTGTCGGGGCTTGTTCGATCTTGCATAATGTTCTGCTCATGAGGGAAGATGATTCCGCCTTGTGTGAAGGCATGGGAGATTACTCGGTGCAGCATGATCAAAGCTCCCAGCAGCACCAGCAGCACCATGAGGAAGCCAGCATAGAGGCTTGTCGCATTCGAGATGCATTGGCGAAACAAGCTCGTGTTTCGAGTTCGGCTCGATCGTAGCTCAATTAGATCAATTGATTCGGTTGCAGAGTCGGATATACCATCGAATTCGGACCGTTTTCCGATTGCGGATTCTTTTGCTCATTTTGAAGCAACAAGTAATTTCATATTGGACTACACATTCTTTTCCTCCATGGCATTACCCAATGTAAGTCACTAAGGTACCCAAAGCTGTGTTTGATTTATTTATATGCACAGACAAAGGGACATGTTCGGTTATTTGTTCGGTTATAAGCTTGTTTATCATGTTTCCTTTTTCCTTTTAATTTTTTACACTTTAAATATTAGTGAAATTAGAGATTGAATTAAACACAAAATAAACTTTTAAGTTTAAACTATGAAGTCTAAGAAAATTAAGGACTAATGATATAATTCTACCAATTTTTTTAAAAGGAAAAAATAACTATAATACTTTTTTTTAAATCTACGAGATAAATATAAAATATTATCTGTTTAAATACTCTTATACTCTTAATATTTATGATGTCTGAACTCGAGATTTCAAATAATAACGACAAATCTTTTAATTGAACGGAGTTCATGTTGTCGCTGCTAAAAAAAACTACCATCGGCTCAAAAGAAGGGGTAGTTAGCAGAAAAACTTTGACTTCGCAAAGGGTGGGTAGCAGGAAAGCTTTGACTCAAAGCAAATGGACTCAGTGACTCACTACCTTACTCACCAAACGCGGAATTCAATCTTATTTACCGAACAACATTTTGTGGGTGGAATTTGGTAAACCTCCTCTTTGTATCTTAGGGTAAATTATATAAATGATTCCCTAACTATATGATATTACTTTATTAAATCTACTGACTATTAAAAGTTACAAAATGGTCTTTTAACTATGGAGAGTTACTTTATTGAGTTATTTGACTATTAAAAGTTACAAAATGGTCATTCAACTATTCACTATGTTTTAAACTCGTCCTCTTCTGTTAAAAAATTGATAAGAAACTAAGTTATACATTAATCTGTTGGTTGAGATATAATAAAATATGTTCTCATAATCTCAAATGACTATAATATCTCGGACAACATGTTAACGTACAACTCAGATGACCGTTAATTTTTTAACAGAAATGAACGAGCTTGGAATATAATAGATAATCGAGTGACCATTTTGTAACTTTTAGTAGTCGAGTGACTCAACAAAGCAACTCCCATAGTCAATGAATTATTTTGTAACTTTTAATAGTCAAAGGACTTCATAAAGAATATCCTTAGTCGGGAGAACATTTATATACTTTACCCTCAATTTTATACCTCATATATATTTTTAATTGAAGTTAAATAAGAATATTTTATTGGTAAATATTTATTCACATTGGATTACACTAGTTTGACCTTAAAAAATTCATATTAAATACAACTTTTCCTTGTATAGTTTTTTTCCTCCTTTATTAATTTTTGCTTTAATTTTTAATTTCGTCCTCGTATTTTAATTTATCATTATCTAATCATCATACTCTTTTCTTAGTGAATATGCAAACCCTAATCGTTGATTTTTATTAATTCTATGTATGTAAATTATTCAATTGTATATTTGTAGGTCAACGGTTTAACAAGAAAGTTTGACAACATCATCCAAGTGGCTTAAGTCATCATTTTTCTTAATTTATGAGGATCAAGTTTAAACGAATTAAAAGAAAGGGACTAATTTATCAATTTGTATTAAGTAAAGGGATTAAATTCACAATTGATAGTTTTTTTAATGATTAGGCAGTCCACCAACCCTCTCACCAACTCTTTCATTAGCACTATCTTGAAAAGGAAACAAATGATAAGGTGGGTGGGTCCCACCACTAACCACATTCACCCAATTCCAAGTTACTTTTTTCTTTTAATTTTAATTAAATTCGTGGAGTTTAACAAATTATTAATTCTTCATATTCTATAAAAATTAGGATAAATTATGTATTTAGTACCTAAACTATAAATTTTGGTTTATTTTAATACATAACTTTCATTTTTTAAATCATACATAACGTTTAGTTTTTATTTTATTTTAGTACAAATCGTTAAAAACTTAACGTGTTTAATACTTAAACTATCAATTTTGGTCCGTTTTAGTACCTAAACTTTAATTTTTTTTCAAAATTTAACGTTAAATTTTGAACGTGATACTAAAATGAAACAAAAGCTAAAGTTTTTAACGACATATACTAAAATAAAGTAAAACTAAACTTTAGATATATTTTGAAAAAAAGTGAAAGTGTAAGTACTAAAACATATTAAAACTGATAATTTATATATTAAACAAGTAATTTACCCTAAAAATTAAATCTACAATTTTAACCTATACTAATTCCTGGTGGAATCTACCCTCGTCACCAAGTCATCAATAGACATGCAATTTTGGGGGCTTCACCAACCCCCCGACCGGGGATGGCAGGCGGTTCACCACCAATAACCCCGGTCCAACCGGGATTTTCAATTTCCATATAATCCCTTTCCCGTTTCATTTTTTTCAACTCAGGTCACCATTTCAAAGTCAATTTTCCAGGAAAAAAACAGCAACCCTTTTTGCAGAATTGATCAGCAATGGCAACCAACAACCAAGATCAACAACAATCTCAAGCCGGCAGGCACCAAGAAGTCGGCCACAAGAGCCTCTTGCAAAGCGATGATCTTTACCAGGTATGGAAGAACGATCTTCAAACAACAAAAGCGTTTGGATTTTGCTGAAATCTTTAGTTTTCGATGCGTGTTTTGATCTGGGTTTTCTATTTTGAGAATTGGGATTTTGTTTTTTTGAAGTATATACTGGAGACCAGTGTGTATCCGAGGGAGCCTGAACCCATGAAAGAGCTCAGAGAGTTGACTGCCAAGCATCCATGGTTGGTTTTTCTCTAATGAAAATTGAAACCCAGTTTTCTTTCTTTCTTTCCGGATTTGTTGATTTTAATTTGGTTTTGAAAATAAAAATAGGAATCTTATGACTACATCGGCCGATGAAGGCCAGTTCTTGAATATGCTTATTAAGTTGATCAATGCCAAGAACACCATGGAAATCGGCGTTTACACCGGCTATTCTCTGTTGGCCACCGCCCTTGCTCTTCCCGATGATGGAAAGGTAAAGACAAAATCAATCGAATATATATATATATATATATATAATGCGAGATCTTATGTGATAGGTGAATTTTTTTCGATATACATTTAAACGATTATTGTTATATTTTTAGTTTTTATAAAAAAAATTATTTTAAAAATTTATAAAAAAAAAATCAAATCCCCTCTTTTTGTTTCATCCTCCACCTCCGACGATGCAAGATAAGAAATTTAATGGTGACGGAGTATTACGAAAACCTATAATCTTTGAAATTATCAGAAAATAATGAAAAAACTTAGCAATTCAGTTTTTTTTACGGTATTTTTTATGACGATCGATGCAGTTTCACAGTGAACGAAAGATGTAATTTTTGAGGGTTTAATTGGGTTTTGAAAAAAAAATTATAATATTAATTTTTTAAATAAAATAATTTTAAAATTTTATATGAATGACATATATTAGATAACGGTCAAATTTAATAACCATTACAATTTAAATACCTAAAAGTGTAACATTATAAATAGTAGACACTTATTTTTAACGAAAATTTTTAGACACTAAAAACTATATTGAAGTATAGTTTAGATACCTAAAAATGTATTGAGCATATTTAAAATTAGAGTGCAAAATTAGATCATCGATATAAATTACTAACCCGAACCCCCTCGATTCATCATGTATGTATGGGATCCATTAAATAACAATGGAAATTGAATTGCAGATATTGGCCATGGATATCAACAGAGAAAACTACGAGCTGGGTTTGCCTGTGATTCAGAAGGCTGGCGTAGCACACAAAATCGATTTCAGAGAAGGCCCTGCAATGCCGGTTCTTGATAAATTGGTTGAAGATGTAAATTCTTTTTGCCTCCCATCTGTTTGTTTTTATTCCTCCATGAGGAATTTTTAGAGTGCTTAAAGAGTTTGAGATTGTATTGCAGGATGAGAATCATGGATCTTATGATTTCATCTTTGTGGATGCTGATAAAGACAACTACATTAACTACCATGAGAGGCTGGTAAAGCTGGTGAAAGTCGGCGGTTTGATCGGCTACGACAACACTCTGTGGAACGGATCGGTGGTGGCGCCGCCTGACGCTCCCCTTAGGAAGTACGTTAGGTATTATAGAGACTTTGTTTTGGAACTCAACAAGGCTCTTGCTGTTGATCCAAGGATTGAGATTTGTATGTTACCCGTTGGTGACGGAATCACCCTTTGCCGCCGCGTCAAATGAACCACTGCCTCCGCCACCACCTCCACTGCCACCACCCAAGATTGACAAGCTTATATGTTCTTCCAATTTTCTTTTTTCCCCCTTTAAATTTCAAAATATGGTGTAAATTTGATTTGGCATTCATCAAAGAAACGCCCATCTACCATTACCAAACCATTAATATTTTCTCAAAATATGAAATATTGAGTTCATTTTCTAGCAGTGAAACATTTCTAAACGTCCAATCTTTATCTTACCTTTATTTAGTATTATGTGAACAATAATCAACAATGCTATTGTCCTAACAATAAAATTTTGGGTAAATTACGTGTTTGATACCTAAACTATTAGTTTTAATCCGTTTTAATATCTAAACTTTCAATTTTTTCAAAACCATACCTAAAGTTTAATTTTTGTTTCATTTTAGTATCCCATTCAAAATTTAACGTTAAGTTTTGAAAATATTGAAAGTTTAGGTACTAAAACGGATAAAAATTGATAGTTTAGGTACTAAATGCATTAAGTTTGTATCGTCGGGATACTAAAACAAAATAAAAACTAAACATTAGGTATGATTTTAAAAAATAAATGGAAGTTTAAGTACTCAAACAAACAAAAATTGAGCTTAGGTACTAAATGCATAATTTACCCTAAATTTTTCACAGGTTTTATAGGTAGCCGTTTCTTTTTCGGTTAATTAAAAATTATGTAAATTATATTTCTAATTTATTTTAGATATCTATTTTTATAAATTTTGTAAGTGTCTAATATTTTCTTTATTATCATTTAAGGTAACTAAAGATTTATTTTGTTATCATTTCAAGGTCATTTCGTCACTACGGTTAGAAAAAATCGATCAATCAATAATTGTTTGACATATGATAATATTTTTTATTAACGTCAATTTTTTTTTAAAAAATTAATTTTTAAAATTTCTAAACCCCCTAAAATTTATAATTTTAAAAAAAATCTAAATATTAAAATACCCTTGAAAATAATGAGATGAGTTCGCGATCAGAAATTCGAGGGGCTTGATTTTAGTTCAAATGACGATGTAGCTTCATTGATGGTGACATACATACGATGCTTGGGTTAAAAAATATGATTTGTGTGATAAGAGGAAAAACGGTCGACAGATAGGAGTCCACTAATAGAAGAGTTTAGAAATTGGGGTATCAAAGGTCGTTATGCTTGTCTTATTATGTTGCACAGACATGTTCAAAATGGTTGTATAATGGAAAAAATCTCTTACATGGGACATCGTCGGTGGTTAGGTGAAAATCATAGATTTAGATACCAAAAAAATATGTTTGATGGTACTGAAGAGTTTAGAAATGCTCCAGAGCAAACAATCGGTTCTGATATCTTTTCAATGTTGAACAAATCAAGTTCACTTATGAAAAGATAAATCAATTATCGAACACACAATCAAAGAAAAAGGCAAAATAGGTGTATGATCGTGATGTTGAACAACTGAGTGATGACGAGCCTTATTAAGAGGATGATACAAGTGAGGTGGATTTATGGAAAAAGATAAGTATTTTCTTCGAGTTGCCCTATTGGAAAGATCACATTTTGAGATATAATCTTGATGTCATGCACATTGAGAAGAATGTTTGTGAGAATATTATTGGGATCATTCTCAATGTCGATAGTAAATCTAAAGACAATATAATGAGTAGAATTGACTTAGTTGACATTGGAATTCGACGTGATTTTCATCCCCAATTACTTCATAATGGAAAATCTCGATTATCGCATTCTATTCTTACAATGTCGAAGAAATAAAAAGAAATGTTTTGCACATTTTTAAGGATATAAAGATCCTAAATGTGTATGCATCAAATTTATCTTGATGTGTCAATGTTAAAGATCATAAACTTTATTCTCTAAAGTCAAATGATTATCATATATTGATGCAAGATTTATCGTCAGTTGCTTTACGTGGTTGTATCTCGATGAGTCAGTGTTAAAGATCAGAGACTTTATTCTCTAAAGTCATATGATTATCATATATTGATTCAAGATTTACTACCAGTTGCTTTACGTGGTTGTATCTCGAATAAGGTGAAGTCTTGTATAATTGAACTTTCCAATATAATGAAAGTTATTTGTGGGAAAGTTCTTATGGGTGAAGAACTTGAGAAAATACAAGATCGAGCTTCCTTGGCTTTATGCAATATGAAGAAGATATTTCCACCTTCATTCTTCATAATTATGGTGCACTTGCTAGTTCATCTCCATCACGAAGCTAAAGTTGATGGACCGTTTTCTATCAATGAATGTATCCCATAAAGAAATGATAATTGGCTTATATGTATTATATTGCTATTGAATATATCTTTTAATTACAACTATTATTATAATGTTATGTTTTGTGTCTAGTTTTTTGTGCAAGTTGAAGTCTTACTATCGTAATAAGCGATATCCATAAGGATAAATTGCTAAAGGGTATTTGGCAGAGAATTGTATGACTTTTTGCTCTAGATATTTGGAAGATGTTGAAACAAGGTTGAATATACCACATAGAAATGAAGTGTGCAATAAGAATAACTTAGCTGAGACTTATTTGTTTGGAAGTTATGGTGAACCACTCGGCAAAGTTGAAACTGCACAACTAGATGATAAGTCTTGGGTACAGGTACATCGATATGTTCTTTTCCATCACGATTCAATTGATCCCTTAAGCAAGTAAGTTTTAGAATAAAAGTTCTAATATTTTCACTTAATCTTTTATATTTCGCATTATTTAACCATTCAATCTACTTTATAGTGAGTTAAAGAAGTCTTGAGATCTCGCTCAAGCTCCCGAAGTTTAAATCAGCGAGATATTCATAAGTTATTCACTTAAACTTTTCATGAATGATCATGGCATAATGTAAGCAACTAAATCTTTTGAACAACACATAAATAATGTATAACTCTTCTTGTTTTAATGTATTGATATAAATGCTAACTAATTCACCTTTCACCCGTAACAGATTTGGAGTTGGAAGGAAGTTAGTGAAGAGGTTAAATGATTTTCTCAATGTCTGAATAATTTTTAGAAGATATAATGCCTTCCTCATTAATGGGTTTAAGTTCCACATGAAATCTCGTGAAAGATTACGGGGGACACAAAATTATGGAATAGTTGTTACTTCTTCAACTACAAGTTATACTAGTGCTAGAGACAATCATCTTGTAAAGGGAGATGTAGAATATTATGGAAATCTTACAGACATTATTGAGTTGGATTATTATGGAAAACGAAATGTTGTGTTATTTCGGTGTGATTGGGCTGATGTAAATACTACTCTAGGTGTTAAAATATATATATTAAGTTTTATAATGGTGAACTTCTCTCGATTAATTCACGCTGGTCTACAATTGATGAACAAGCCATATGTATTTTCTTCTCAAGTCAAACCAGTTTTCTATTGCCACGATCCAATGGATGAGGGTTGGTTATTGTACTCCGTAATATCCCAGAGCCTTGATAAACATTGGGGATGGAATTAGAGATTAAATTGAAACAAGATCAGAAACTTTACCTTTTGTACCACAAAATTTAGATGAAACTATCACTAATAATAATTCACAATTCTAATGGGTTCGGAATGACATTGATGAAGATACTTATGAAAACTGATATGACATAACAATGCAGTAATATTTTCTATCTTAATTGATTAATTTATAATATATTCATTAATAGTATTATTGTAACTAGTTACTAATAGTGTTATTTGTTTATTACAGATATTATGCCTTGGAGGAAATTAAGTTGCCCGCGGATTGTTCGAGCTCCTCAAGAAGAGGAAGAAACATTGTAGGAAATTACGTCCGACAATAAAGTTGGACGAATAAAGTTATTCAAAATGATACATATAAAAAAATATGGCTCTCCTATGGCTCCTGAAGCTGTAGAAATCATGGTATATTTATAGTATAACATTTTTATTTTAAATAATGTTAGAATTCGTTCTAAATTCTAAAATGATTATTAGGAAAAATTGAGTGATAAAAGGATGGAGTATGAAGCTACGGGTTTATCTCATGGTTTCATTAATGTGGACGAGATTGAAAATCAAGTTATTTGCTAAAATTTTTGGTCCTCAAAGATATGTCGAGTTCATTGTTAGGGATCATTCGTTACCACATCCAAATATTTTGGATCTAGTTCCTCTTAGTACATACCATCACATAGTCAATCTTCTCAATCAGAAGTTATTCGATTAAAACAACGGTTGATTGTAATGGATGAAAATTTTGCTCAAATGAAAGTCGAAGCATAAGCGAGAAAAATAGAGAGAGAAGCAACATATAAGAGAAAATACGATGAACTTCAAAAATAACTTGAAGCTGTGAAGCAGATGATGCAACAAAATCAAGCATGAAATTCACCACCTAGGTGATTTCTTAGGTTCATGTCATGTTTATTCTAGTTGTTAAACTGTATTACATTTCACTTGAATGTTGAACTACATTACTTGAATATTTGTAAACTTTGTTTTATTTATGTTGTTAGGTATTTTTTACTTAATTTCAGTCATATAAAGGTTGTTATTGAATATTGTAATAGGATATATTAAATATGGGCTATAAACAATACAAAATAATATTTTTAAAATAGATTCGACTAGTGGCGTTTTAAGATGAAAAACACCACTAAAGGACTACACATTTATAGCGTTTTTTTACTCTCAAACGTCGCTATATGGCCTAACATTTAGTGGCATTTTAGTATAACAAACGCCGCTACATATCATAGTATGTAACGACGTTTTATTCACAAACACCGCTAAATATCATGGTATATAGCGGTGCTTTTATTTACAAAGCCACTAACTTTTGCGACGTTAGTTTTAGAAGCGCTTTTTGTTTCGATCGGGAAGCTTTTTTGTGGCACTTATAAACACAATATAGGAGTAAAAAACTCTGTTATTGAACTGTTTTGCTGTAGTGAGTATTTAAATTATCAATTTTGGTTCATTTTAGTAATAAATTTTTAATTTTTCAAAACCATACCTAAAGTTTAGTTTTTCTTTCATTTTAGTACTCCGCTGTTAGAAACTTTAGTTTTTGTCTCATTTTAGTATCTCCGTTCAAAATGTAACACTAAGTTTTGAACAATTGAATGATTAGGTACTAAAACAAACCAAAATTGATAGTTTATGTACTAAAATGAAATAAAAATTAAACGTTAGATATGATTTTGAAAAAAATAAAAGTTTAAGTACTAAAACAGATCAAAACTGATAGTTTAGATACTAAATACATAATTTACCCAAAGTTTTATAATATGATTATGTACGCATTAGTTTTCATATATTCAAAGTAATTTTTTATCATTTAGGTTTGAGTTGTAACACATATAAATATAATGTATGGATTTTCGGTTTAAATCTTATTATATGTTAGTTCTATTTGAAATTATTCTGATTTAGGTTAGATATATTTTAGCTATTAATTTATTTGTTTATATACAGGGGTGCGTAAAATTCGACTTGATTCGGAAAAATTGAATTTTTTTGCTCGACTCGTAATTCTATACACTCGACTTGCCTTCAAAAAATTTCAAATTTGAGTTGAGTTATAAAAAAGAACTTGAATAACTCAAAATGTTTAGTAATTAGTAGATTAATTTTTAAGTTCAAGTCGAGTCATACAACTCTGTATGATATATATATATATATATATATATATATGCTTAAATTTTTTATCCTTGTATTATTATATTCTTAAACAAAGATGAAAGGAGTCCACTTGTATTGTCAACCATATATACCAATATTTTACTAACGAGAACTCTGGCGAATTAAGATTTGACCCTTGTACTATTATGAACTTTGAAATATAGCCTCTCTACTTTTAATTCCAATAGTATAGTGTTTTTACTTATCTAATATGTAAATTGAAATCCAATTAATAACATAATTAATTGAATTTCGTTAATTTTAAATATCTGATAATACATACTCAAATTCAACTAAAGGAAGGTTAAATTACATAGCAAAATGAAGGACAAATTTCAATAGTTTTAAAAGTACAATGACCTGGAAACAATTAGACCGAAGACATAAGCTTGATGAAGAGCTCCATTATTATCATCTAAAAGAAGCAGTGAAAGAACATCGATCACAACCGATGATGAGGAATAAGAGTGTTATAAGTTTTAGCCGGCGGACCTGGCGCCGGCGGTGGGTTACCGTCGCCGGAGTTTTTCGAATAACCGTATTTTTCACAAGGAATAAAGTAGAACGTTTTTATCCTGTTGCAGACCTTCTTCTTCCACAAGAACGCACTGCACTCGGCCTCCGATCGTTGATTCGGGAGGCCGAAGATACAGTTTTTGGACACGTCTATCTTCTTCTTCGTCATCAAATGGTAGCAAGCTGGTCCGATGGAAGTGAAATAGTTGTTGGCCAAAGACAAATTTGCAATTATCGGTAGCTCGCAGACAATCTCCGGTACTTCGCCGTAGAACCGGTTGTTAGCCAAGTTGAGAATCTGAATCATTTTCATGCACCCGAAGGAGTACGGTATCGGTCCGGTTATCTTATTCCGGCTGGCGTCGAACACGGTGGCTCGACTCAGGTTGCCGATCTCGTACGGTAAACAACCACTGAGTCGGTTGTCGAGGAAAAGCACTTCGAGTAGGTTTCGAGCTTTTCCGATGCTACGTGGGATCGTGCCAGTGAAGCTGTTGTTGGCGAATGTGAGGTAAAGCGCCGTCGTGTCGCCGAGGTTTTTCGGGAGCGTTTGCTTGGCGAACCGGTTGTTGTTGATGAATAACACGTCTAGGGTTAAGTTGAACACTTGTGGCGGAACGGAGCCTCGGAGGGAGTTGTACCTCAAGTCGAGGAACGTTAAGTTCATGGCGTTTAGGGTTTCCATCGGAAAATCTCCCTCGATCTTGTTGTTGCTGAGATCGAGCTCGTATAAGTACTTGATCTTCGATGCTTCGAACGGAACCGTCCCGGTGAAGTGGTTCGAGTTGGCATGGAATATGGCTAAATCGTCCATCTCATCGATGAAGCCCTTAAGCGGAAGGGTACCGTCGGAGCCGAAAAATCTATAGCCGTTGAAATCGACGGCCGAGACGGCATTTTCCTTCACGTCGGGACGAATGTCGCACTTGAACCCGTTGTAGCTACAAACGTCGGTTCCGGTCCACGTCTTGATGTGCCTCTCGCTATTCTTATCAACTTTGATACGCTTCTTCAATGTCTGAATCACGTCGTATGCATCCGCCAACCGCTTGTTTTCGAAGCACCCGTTCTCATTCTCGTAGTACTTGCACCGCGATGGCTTGACGGCTGGTGCCGGAGCTTCACCGGCACCGGTGATTATGTCTAAACATGAATGGAGAAGGATGGTGAAGAGTAAAGACGAAGTGGAAAGTGAAAGGGTACGCATTCTCTTTGATTCTGTTTCACATGTACCTTGAGAAAATGTGCTACAATTAGCCCTAGATTTATATGGGAAGAAGAAACTCAAGATTCACCACCATACACTAAAATATTATATACATATATTGTAATTTGTAACTGTCCCCAGTTATGATTTTGTTACACCATCGTTGTCCGATTGATACATGTTCTTTTCAATTACCACCAAAGTCAGATCTTTCTAACTCAACTTCGTCTCGTAATAATTCAAGAGTTTGTATAGTTAATAATGGACCATTTTAATGGAATGGAGGAAGTATTATTTATCGATACATGATGATAATAGTAAGATCGTGTTAATAGAAAAAATTATAATTGTGATGAATTTCAACGATTTATCTTTTTTATTTAGACAAAGAGTCACGATCGATCGATGATTCTGATGAGTTAAAAAAGATGATGTAAGGTGTAAAGAGCAAGACAAGTCTAGATAGAGTGTATGGTCTCTTTCTACATCATTACACGATGATTTATATACGAATTTTTAGCGTTGGTGTCAGGTTTAAGGTGATGATAGCTATTTATAGGATGAGAGAACAAATAGATATAATGATATGACAGTAACTTTAATTTTGATAGATCAGGTGAATCTAATACTGATAATGTCACATGACTGCAGTTGTTCGAATATAAAATTTTAAATACTTGGAAAATAAAAGGTGAAAGTAAAATTTATAGAGAAAATCTAAAAGAAAAATAATAATACACTATATTAAAAGTTATTAATTTTGTAGTAGAATATATATTCTTATTATAAAATTAAACACAATATTTTATATAGTACGAGAATTAGTAGATTTTATGGGTGGTTAGTAAGTGTTCGAGTCACATGACTTTTCAAAAAAAAAAATGTGAACTACATAAATGGTCTCTCGACCATAAGATATTATTTTGTTGAATCTTTTGTCTATTAAAAGTTACAATACGATTCTTCGACTATATGATGATATTTTATTGAGTCCATCGACTATTAAAAGTTATAAAATGGTCATTTGACTATTCATTATATTCCAAACTTATCTTTTTTTCTATAAAAATTTGACAATAATCTGATCTGGGTGTTAATATGCTATCCGAGATATGATAGTTGTTTGAGATTCTGAGATCATATTTTATCATATCTTATACAGCAGATTAACTTCAAGCTCAGATTATCGTCAATTTTTTAACGGAAAAGGAAGAATTTGATACACAAAGAATAATCATGTGACTATTTTGTAACTTTCAATAGTCGAAAGACTCAATAAAGCAACATCCTATAATCATAGAATCATTTTGTAGCTTTTGATAGTCAAGGGACTCAACAAAGTAATACTCTATAGCTAGGGGACCATTTGTGTATTCTACCCTTAAAAAAATATGCAAGAGATCAATTTAATGACATCGTGTTAGCGTTGCCTGAAAATTGGACAAGAATAAACAATGTCCGGCCAGTTAGAGTCCACGTGCAGAACTGAACAAGTCAATGCCAAATTGAAATATTTAACAATCCACATCCATTAAGCTAACGATAGTAAATACATATCAGGTAAACTACACATTTAGTATATAAACTATCAGTTTTTATTCGTTTTAATACCTAAACTTTTAATTTTTTTTCAAAATCGTACGTAACATTTTGTACCTAAACTATAAATTTTGGTCCGTTTTAGTACATAAACTTTTAAATTTTTTTAAAATTTAACGTTAAATTTTGAACATGATACTAAAATGAAATAAAAACTAAACTTTATGTATGATTTTGAAAAAAATTAAAATTAAAATACTAGGACCAAAACTAATCGTTTATGTATTAAACGCGTAATTTACTGATACATATATAATACATACTTTTAACATCATTACTTCATTTTCTAAATATAATTATTAGAATCAGATCGAATTCATCGGTTAACCGAATCGAACCAATAATTTTGAACATGATTAATTGAATCGGTAATATAAAATAAAAAAATTAACAAAATATTATAAAAAATTAAAAACCGAAAAATGGAGCAAAAATATTAATATTCAATCGGTTGAACCGGTTTATATACAAAATATTTTTATTACTTTCTTAATTTAATTATTGTTAAATCAGTAATTTAATTGCTTGAATTGATCAAATCAAAACCTAATAACATAATGATCATTAATTTTAATACCAATTTACCAAGTCTATGATTTGCAAATTGTGAAGAATACACATATACAACTTGTCAAAGCATGCAAGTGATGCACATATATATATATATATATATATATATATGATGTTACTTTGTTGAGTATCTTAACTATTAAAAGCTACAAAATGGTCCTACGACTATATGAAGTTATTTTGTTGAGTCCTTAGACTATTAAAGGTTATAAAAATATCATCCGATTATTCATATGTTCCAAACTTATCATTTTCGGTTAAAAAATTAACTGTCGTCTGAGCTGGACATTAACATGCTAATTAGAACGTGATAGTCTTTTGGGATTCTATGATCAGATTTTATCATATCACAATTAATAGATTAACGTCCAGCTCATACTACAGTGAATTTTTTTAACAAAAAAGGATGAGTTTGAAATATATGAATAGACAAGTGACCATTTTGTAACTTTTAATAGTAAAGGGATTCAACAAAGTAACACACTATTATTGGGGACCATTTTGTAACTTTTAATAGTAAAGTGATTCAACAAAGTAACACATTATTATTAGAGGATCATTTTGTAACTTTTAATAGTTGGGGGGTTCAAGAAAGATCATCCTATAGTTGGAGAACTATTTGTGTACTTTACCCGACAATAAAGTATTCCCCGATGCTAAAAATTCAAAATATATAAACAAACGATTAATATTACATTCTTCGAAGAACAAAAAAAATTAGCTGACCCTATTCCCATATGTAATGAGGTGAGGGGAGGTAAGGTAGTAGGCTGAGGTGAGGGGAGGTAAGGTAGTAGGCTGCCACCAATGCCAGGTTGAGAGCAACTTCCGTGGAAGACTTTCGGCAGTCAAAATTATGAATTGCCCACCGTGGAACTCGATCCCACGACCACAAGGTTAAGAGCATTGCATTCTACCAACTGAGCTAGACGGGCAATTCACATTCTTCAAAGAACCTATTCTTTAATTAATAGATTTATTTTTTTAAAAATAATTATGATTTTAAATTATAGATGCGATTGCGGTATCACGATGACTTTGAAAAACGTTACAACAAAATATTACACTGTTTTGCTGCCACAATTTAATACTCCACTCGGAAGTGTGGAGATGGGTAGGCAAATCAGATTCCTGGAACCAACATAATAAGCATAATGTATCGATAAGAGCCGGTGATGACGCCGCTGCCGCCGCCGTTTAGAAAGACTCGGTTGAGTGGTGGCTACTGCATATCTTGTTCTTGTGCTCTACTGAGCTTCTTAAATGGCGGTTCGGGTGATGAAGGCACAGACGGTGATGACCCGCAAGCATCGATTACGCGGTCGGGGCTGCTAGGATCCGTCTCGATAAGCTTCCTTCTCTTTGGACATGATGCATTGTTGTTGTTTTGGGGTCTTTTTGATACTTCAACCACGAGCTTGTAGCACTCATTCACTGTTTCCTGCTTAAAACAACAACAGTGGAGCAATGAATGAATCAAAAAACAGATGTTTAATAAGCTATGGAAGGCATGACTTTAATGATGGTAGGCAGGAACGGACGCATGATTTTATTTCAGGGGACGAACTTGCACTTATAAAATTATGAGGGTAACTTGAGCTTATCAAATTCTAAGAAGGGTGAACATGAGTTTATAAAATTCTAAGGGGACGAAAATATATTTTCAATATAAAATACATAGAAAAATCTACAATAAATGATAATTTTAAATTTTCAGGGGTGATTGCCTCCACCTGTCCCACCTAGGTCCGTCCATAATTGTAGGGTCAATAAAAGTCAATACTTAGGTTTGAATGGGTATGTGTTTTCCTTTTCCTGTAACCCCTACTAATTGAGTATCACCTTCCACAATCCACTATAAACATCAGTCGCGATTATCCGTCCAAATCAAAAGGAGTGAACCACTTACGATCGTCACAATTTAAATGTTACCATCAACAACTACGCATAACTCGTATTCCATTTGGTCTAGCCCGAAAATTTTGATGCACGAGTATAACAAGTATGGTGAGAAAATAAAGGGACTAAGTATATCATAAACACATAATATAAGGACCTTCAAAAAACTCCTACCAAAAGGATTAGAATACCGGCCTTCTTTGTTTGAAGAACATTTAAGAGTTGATCTCGGTAGTAAACGAGAGTGAACGGCTCGATTTGATCTATAACGTACATCATTGTAGCAGTGGCCAAAACCGAGGGAAGATAATGCATGGATCTTGAATCTACAAAAACACCCACAAAATGAAAACAAAGTCTACTGAATTATGAGATTAAACGACACAAAGGGTGTTTATGTTAACTCGGGTTCAATTCTCATTCGACACAAAGGGTGTTTATGTTAATTCGGGTTCAATTCTCAATCGACATTCAGTCAATAAATCACTTTTTTTTTTGGATACATGTACTCTTTTCCTCTACTTAGAATTATGAAGGTTTTTAAAGTGATATATAATCGAGACGGTTGTAGTTATTCTTCTAATTAATCGATCGAAAAAAAAACTTACCGGAGATTACACAAAAGAGGAGTTGTTCACATTTCTTGAGCAACTCCCAATGGAGATGAATCTTCAAGCCAAGCCTTCTTATGATGTGATTGAGAAATGAAAGTGGAGTAATGGGATGCATTTTCCATTTGAGAGTAGAGAGAATCAAAAGCTCCATTCTTTGAATGGTTTTGGATTCGAATACATATCTTATCTCACCTACCTATACAACAAATAAAAAATATATTTATTCTTTTCGGAAAAAATATCGTCAGGGCTTGATCCGAAACTGTTGATATCGTCACTCATGACGATATCAACAGTTTCTAATCACGATAATGTTTTCAATGTGACATTACA